TGGCTTGTAATAAAAAACTCAGCTGCTCAATAACAAGCTAGAAACACTGACACGACATGGCCAAATAAGCCTGTCATGCCACAAAAATAAATGCAGTAAAACACAGTAAAATAATTTACAAAACCTTTATGCAGTCCACCTGCACTGTGAGGTCACATCAAATTGATCAGTGACCCTTAAATCACAAAAACACTATCTTCAACCATTGCATAATACCCTGCTTGCTGTAGTCCTGCTTTATCTAATTCATTACAATAAAATTTGTAATAGAATCCTAGGTGTAAGCCCCAAATACCACACTGAAATTAAATAAACTGAAATTACTAAAAAACGACTTTTTTTTTTTTTAATTTTAAGATGAAACCAACTGTTAGCAGCCACTGTTACAACAACTTCCTTTAGGACACTAACAACATCAAGCAAGACAAATACACATTGTTCAAGGCCACAAAGGAAGTTTATGTCACAGAAAGACAAAAAAATCATGTTCTTATCTCTCATCTCTTTGTTTAGACCATTATGCCTCTCCTTCTCTCACATAAACTGGTAATTCTCTGTATTTATATCATGACCATAAAGTGATTTTATTGATGGGAACCCAGAGCATAGGGGACCAAGGCTTTAATATATTTGAGACTTGGCAATAAACCTCTGCCGTTATTTTGTATTTCATTCGCCATTTCCTTAGACACTTCTTGTTTAATAAGAGCTTTCTCAGACACCACCTGATTTTCTTATTTACCCTGAAAATTGTACTTACAGCATCATAGACTGTTGTTATAGAAATTGCAGCACCATAGAGACAGCATAACCTCACTGCAGATTTAAAGATGATGAATAGACAGACTGGGAGAGAACAGGGTTTTTTACTGTTAAATACAGACATTTGAACTAATAAGAAAACATGCAAGGAAAAAAACCCCACTAAGTAGATGGTTTTTTTGTTTGTTTTTTTTTGTTTTTTTTTTTTTTTTTACATTTTTCCCAGCAGGACTTTTTCTCTCTCATCACTTTTTAAATTTCTGTTTTGCTTAAGCAAAAGACTAAACTCTCTCTCTTTTAGATAAGAGAACTATTTTGATCCTAATGGCTAAAGATGCATTTCTAATAGGAATGCCAGGATCTGTATATCTAAATCACCTTAATGTGGAGACTGTTCTTCAAACATAAGCAGTTTTATGAGCAGCAGAACTAATGTGACGTGAGAGGCTCCAAGTTCTGATCTAGTCATATGCAGCAGCTGAGACATTCATTATATGTGGATGCTACGTGATCTAGTATCACTGACAAGTTCCCTCAGCATAGACATTAATTTGTCTCCTTTACCTGGCTAGATATTTTCAGCATACATAACAGCTGACACACTACCCTTCTATCAAATGTTATGCTTAAAAAATGGGAGAAACCTCTCTAAGAATTATGGAGGAAAAATAAAAATAAACTTTTAATGAAAACAGAACAGAACATTAGGACCAGAGAAATACGCACAGAAATGTCTTTGATTACACAGGAAAGATCTCCATTGAATAAACCTGTAACTACAAATTAAAATGCCCTTTTTCTAGTTTTCCAGGATATAAATGGTGTAATATACTACAGACCTTCTGGATGTCAACTATTTTAAACTGACATACTTCAAAGAAGTTCCAGTTTCTCTAGAGAACCATGTAAGCAGCTTGTGCTAATTACAGAGAGCCAGCTGACAATGCAGTCTCTTGCTCTATAGAAACAGAAGAATCAAAGGACTATGAAAACATAAGATATGCCAAAATACCATAATGTCATCCTTTTAGTTCAAAATTTACAACTCAAGATTCGGGTGTTGGGGGTGACAATACTATGGCTACACAAGATATTATCAAAGGCATGGAAAAAACCTGTTGCAGAGCTATATTTGTTCACTAACTTCTTTCACTTCTAATATTCCTAACAGACCTAGTCAGCCCCACACACGTGTTCCTTGTTACGTCCATTTGCTTTTCAGTTCGTTTCCCACACATCAAGCCAGACTACAAGCCTCAGGAGGGAGTTAGCTGCTCCTCCAAGCTGCCATGAGTCACTGTGATGTCTGCTGCGTAGAACAAATTAAGCCTGAATTTCTTGCTTCCACTAGGCAGCAAGAACAATGAGGGAAAACATGGCAAGGAGGCGAGAAAAAAATCAAAAAGCCAGGAATCCTCTCCCTCAGTATTCCTACCTTCCTCTCATAGCCACCATAGTGCATGGTGATGAAGGAAGTAAATCAAAGACTTAGCGCACAACTGAGAGAAAGACTACAGTATTCAAACTTTCCAATTTTCAGTGTTACTTTAAATACAAATTTCTCATCACAAATGAAAAAAAAACTATGCTACCTCATAAAATAAGTACATATTTGTGTACCCTGTTGGAAGTACAAAGACTTATCTTAACAGATGTATCCTTGGATGTGATCACACTTGTGACAGATGTATTTTGTTCAACCTAAAATAAAGCTGTGCTAAATGAATACTTGCCTAATATTTCAGCCTATTATTTTTGTTTGTATATAAATTCCTATTGTTTTGGTAGACGAAACTCTTAATCATAGAAATTAAAGCACTAACATAAATTGTTGACTGAAAGTAAAAACAAGTCACTTCAGTACTTTATGTTACAGAAAAAACACCGATTCAGGAACACCAGTGGAGGAAGACTGGAATCACAAACATCCCTGCCACACACAATTTTTGAACTCTATTCTGAAATCGGGAAATTTTCATTTGATCTTAGCTGTCAGGACAAGACACTGGGATAAGAAATAGGGTTTCAGGTTGAGAACAGTCAGTTTAATAGTGACCATTAACCTGCCATATAGCAGATTTTTAAGAAGCCCACACTGTGAACAAGAAGTTACTAAGGTACTTGTGGCTGGGAGGGAATTTTGGATGGGAAGGGGCGTGAGGGGAAACACCAGTATACACAACCAGTATACACATTTCAAGGTACCAACCACCGTCAGAGAGAAGACACAGAGTTTAGAAGTAATGCCGTATTGCCACTTTCATATTCATTAAAAAACCTCACAAATCTCACCCCCCAGCAATGAGACCAACATTGAATGCAAACTCTTTTTGTTAATTATATCAGCACTACTCATGAACAGTACCTTCCTAAACTTGCAAGAGACTGTATAAATTCATTCCTGCACATAGTGCTCTAAAATAGTCACCCTCGTACCCAGAAAAGCAGATGTAACTGATCCATCACAGGCAACTTACAACTGCTTGCAGTGTCCTTGCTGCCACAACTGCTTTCTGGGCATCCATGAACAGCTGAAACAAACGCAAACCTGCTAATCGCTGAGGTACACCGGTAACTCCACTGCACTCCTAACTTATGTTGCAAATTCAGTCTTTGCGTGTTTCCTTTAAAAGCACCGCTTCTGTCTGATCCTAGCTGAATCACCAGCAGTTTGTTTTCATTCAAATCCCTCTCTGCCAGACACTGGAGTGACTAATGAACTGCAGAATCTGGTCTGTATAAAAGTTTGACTTAGCAAACTAACCATCAGCATGTTGATGACACTGCCACCCAAAATATCACAGTAACAAAAGAGTAACAATTTACATGGGCTCTAAGCCAGTCTGTGTTTCCTATTCAAATGTCAGAAAAGCATGACCTAGTTTCTCTACAAGTAGTAGAATCTGGAGCTTTTGTTAATTCAGTTTCCTTTCCTTTCTTTATTTCAGCATATGTTTTGGCCACAAATGATTACAGTCATTAGAAGAAAAAAATATTTGAGTTAAATTAAATACAGCAAGCAAATAGCCTGTAATAAGGATCCAAGAGTAACAAAAAGAGCCTGTAGCACTCCGTGTCAACAGCTGAATACCTGTTCTGGTCATCTAGTGACAGACTCCCACACCTCAGACCAAGCAGATGCACTGTAAATTCAATTCTGTCTATATTAGAACCACGTAGTTCCTGACAAAACCAGATTTTCTGAATCTTCCATCAACTTTTACGCTTCTTGTATCATGCCCACTTTACAAAAAAGGAAGATTAAGGCAGAGAAAACTGAGGAAAGAGGGAGAAAGAAGTAATACACTATCAATACAAAGCAGTAGATCCACTACTCCTATTTATTTTTTCTCAGATACAAGGCCAAACGGACATCCACCGGACCTGGAAAGAACCATACAGCATTACCCTGTACAATTTCTCACTGCAAGGTAGTATATAAGCTTGTTTTTTAATTCCACTTAATCCTTTCCAGGTGGTATTTTCCAAAATCTTCAGGTACGCAAAGAAGAGAGACTCTATTAATTTCAATATTTCAGACAATTCCAGTTTATAACAAATTTCTGAGTAACGAGGACTTCCTGTTTTATATTTAATAATACAAACTTGAAACAGAGTTGCAGTGGCTACAACAATCACTTTTTCCCTTGCCAATATCTTATGTAAGTATTTATCTAAACAACAAAAAAATCAATAAATATTTATCTGTGGAAAGATTATCTGATAGCTAGTTAGCATTGTGCTTCAGACATACCCCTTCATACATTTGTATAGGACAATATAGATGGTGAGCTATAAAAGTGATCTGAGTATTCCTTTATAGACAAGTTGCAAAACTTTTATTCTGGACACTACCTCAAAAACTTCTGCAGCCAGATAGAGTCTGGCAGGTCACTGTCCTCCGCATTCCAAGACAATGCGGAAGGCACTCCGGTTTCCATTCATTGATTACTCTTTTGCTCACTTGAACAGAATCCCATTAGAAATGGATAACCTAATTTATCAGAAAAAACACATCTTTCCTCATGAATCTGTACAGGCAAGCATTGAGATTTCAACCCAGACTTAGTCACATTTAAAAATCAGATGCTTAACAAGTAGCAGTAAATACCTCATCCAAAACATAAGGTCTGTTTTTCCAGATAAGAAAATACTGTGACTTATCAGCATCTCTTTATTAAACAACATTAAAAATGTCAGAAAGTAATTTCTGCAAATGCTTCACCTCTTTGTTTTACCTGCTTCTGTGTACTTTAATCCTACTTTTACTTCTTCGTGCTTTGCTTTTGGTGGTGGCCAGACAGTCTGGAGTCTCCCTGGAGTCTTGTCATCTTGCTCTGAGGGACTCAGGTCAGGCTGTTAAAATTATGCAAGAAAAAATTAAAGTCTGTAGTATCAATTGATTACAAAACAGCAACCACCATGCTCAGCTCTACATGTGTATTCCAGAAGAGTTATGTGCCTCATTCTATTGACTGAAACAGTACTCAGTTGGTTGGAAGGGATACAAATAAATCAGTGCAGAAAAATAATTTTGAGGAATAAAATAACATAATGCATAAGACATACAATGATTTGTTGAAACCGTTCACATCAGTGTGGAATGCTGTCTATCCTTTGGTGAACCATTGAGGCGGTCAAGAACACTAGGGTTTTTTCCTGTATCTTTTTTTTTTTTTTTTAAGTCAAAAGACCCATCCATGCTCCCTTACAAGTAAAAATTAGTGGGATTCACCTAAGACATCATTTGACAATATAGTTTTCTGGGAGCAGAGCTAGCTTATGAAATTCCCACCCCACCCCCAGCAGTTTCCTCAGTCCATGTAATACTGCCACATCAAAGTCCTGCTGCAGCTGTTAATGGGACTGCACTGTCAACTGGAATGCTAGAATAACCCTTTAAGTTGGGGATAAAAACCTCACTAAACAAGCATTCTTTTAGAGGTTTACATTTTGTTTGGGTTTTTTTAATCTCTAACATTTCTGGAATCTGATTTACAACATGCTACTAGGAGTAACTGCACAGACACAACTGCAGCAACAGCAAAACCCTATATGAAAGTGGCCCATAAATGGCCCACATGGGCAAGGAAAAAGGAAAGGAAAGCTCTAGCTTTGCCCTGAGAAAATGTACATTTGTACTAGGCTGGACACTAAGCAGACATTTATAAAAGCCACTCCTGCTGATTCCTGTGTTTGTTGTGAGCCAGACAAACGCTTACGCCAGCACAGGGAATGGTGTAAGCAGGAAGAAGCAAGCCAGGAATGGGAAGGGCACACACAGACCGCAATTACTGTACATGCCACAGCCAACTCTTTTCTCCTCCCCATAGGTCATTTAGCACAAACTGGTATTATCGGTCTACCTAGGTGTCAGTCAAGATTTTAAAAAAGTTTTTAATTTTATGTAAGAAAAAAAATTTTAAATAGAGTAAAAAACAACATAGCGAATTAACTTTAGTAGTTTCACTTTGAGGGTCCAATCCTGTAAATTTAATCATTCAGATAATTCCCCCTTTAGCCAACAGGAACAATCTTCTGGACTGATTGTGCTTGCCAAAGATGTAGCTATAAGAATTTGGGAATCCCAACCTAAGGGTTACTAATTTAAATTAAAGAGTTCAAATCATACTCAAATTCATTTATCATTATGGTTCTACGAAAACAGCATAGTTTTTTTTTTTAATTTCTTAAAAGTATACTAAATCTCCATATGTCTAAGAATATTAACCTTGCAAAGGCTTACATTAATCCATAACTTGAGTCATCTAATTGGAATCACTAAGTTATACTCGGATTAGGTTAAATGTTTAGCAGAATTTGTAAAGCCAGATATATGCAATCAAATAAGGAAAATATTACTTTAAATTCTATGTCTTGGACAAACTAAGTTGAAAATCATCCATAACTTCTTGTATCAGCTCTTATCATAGAATTATTCCTAAAGGTGAAATAAAATATTAATTTTAAAAAAAGCCTCAATGAAAGAAAACAGAGTGAGATTGAGAAACTATCACTTAATACTACAGTAAATATTTCCAGCACCAAACTGATTTAAAACCATACTTAACATACAGGACATTATTTCATAGTTATCTTTTCAAACCAGAAACTGATTTTTAAGTTCCCAATTCTGATTGAAAGACTGTGACTATCACCAGTTCTCACTGAATTCTGCTACAACTGCAGATGATCAAGAATTTTGACAAATTAGCCCCAAGATTTCTTCAGTTTGGAATCCCAAATTTGAGATTGCCAAAAGAAGAGGACAATTCCAACAGTGTTTGACCTTAAGTCCCCACCAATAATTTTTAAACAAGAACCCATTTTTTATCCATCTACTTTCAGATCCTAGGAAGAAAAAAGTAATTCAACCTACAGATTTGTCTGATGGTCCATCCCCAGGTTTTGATTTTGACCTTTCAAATACAGCTTTCAAGGACTCTTTTTCATTTCTCATTTTGCGTTTTATGGCTTCCAGCTCTGAAGTATCTGCAGTTGTTTCTTTTTTGGGAGGGCGTGTGAATAAAGCTTTAAAGGCATCCAGTGCAGATTCAGCAGGGCTTGATTTTATTTCCTCAGAGGGAAATCGTGGTTCTGTTTTGACAGAGGCTTTGTTCTCTTGAGCTTCATCACTGTCCTCAGTCTCTCCAGATCCCTCACCAGAGTCCTCAGTTCTATCTTCATTCTTGGAGACTTCTATGTTTAACAAGTGCGAGAGTTGTTCCAGGAAAGTAGGACTTGCTTTAGGTTCAGCGGATTTTTTTTTAGTGGTCAACCCTGATGTAATACTGGATTTCTTAACAGGCTGTCGTAATTTAAGCAGAGCTAAATCATTCTCCCTTGGTTTAATTTCTGTAACAGTTTCCCCATCCTCTGTGGTTAGTCCCTTTTTCCTCACACGTAGTCCACTAAAGAAAGCAGGCAGCTGGAAAGTCTTTTCAGCCAGTGCTGGTTTTTGGAGTGATGTATTATCAGCTGAAGGTCTTTGTTTTTCATCTGGAAGTTCTTGAGGGCATTCCCCTGCAGCAAGCAAGCGACTGAACTGCTCATCCATTAACATTTTGTCTTTTCCATTGGAGTCATACTCCAGAATACCATCCAGCTCTTTTGGGAGCTGCTCAGAAATTGGTGGGTGTAACGCAATGTCATCTGTATCCACAGTGCCATCAGTGTTGCTGTGCCCTTCTGATTCTGACTCTTCCTTATTTTGATTGTTATCGTCCAAAGCCTCAGCAGACAAAGCAGCATTATTTAGCCCAGATTCACTTGTATTGTTTTCATCCGTGTCTAGGTCCTTACTCTCCGTGTCTGATTCTGTATCGCTTGTTGTATGAACCAAAGTACCTTGTACGAGAATGGCATCCTTGTCATCACTGTCAGATGCAGAAAAAGAAGTCTGTACAAGCTGTAAATGGTGAAGAAGCAATTCATTCTGTTCAGCTAACTCCAGTTCCAGGTCAGTCTGCCTGCCAGACATTGGGTCAGCTAGGCCACTGGTACTATTCATGCTGTGCTGATTTTCTGAGTCGTCATTACGGTCATTATCATTCCTCTCATGCCAGGTGTTAGCCTGAACATTTATATTGGTGTGCAAAGGTTGAAATGCTTTAAGCACTGTTTCTTCTTTGGAAGCTGTAGATTCAAATTTATTTGTAAATCCAAAAAGTGTTTTCACAGAAAATGTAGTGAAAAGATCAAGTTCGCTTCCTGCTGTATTCTTCAGGTCTGAAAACTCACTACAATCAGGCATCACATTTTCTTCTTCCATGTTGCGTGACGTACTCAACAGGTTTGCTTCTAGCAGTGCTATTAACTGCTAAACAAATATTTACTGCATGCATTCAGACAGCAGACTGAGCTCACTACAGGCACTGCAAGAGGCAGCGCTCCCCTGCCCTGCAAAGGCAGCCAGCCTCCCCCAGGTCACCCAGCCCCTCCTTCCGCTTCCAGCGCTGCGGCCGTCAGCCAAAGTCTCCAAAGTCTACTTCAGGAGCAGCAAAAAGACCCACCGTAAAAAAGTTCTCCGTAGCGTCGGTAACTTGTTCCTCTACACAAAGGGCTTTTTGTCACAGCAAATATGCCAGCACACTAATCTCGGTTGAAAATTCAACCAATGGTTACTGCTGGGACTCCTGTGATCCTACTGGCTGCACACAACTTCCTACGTGCTAGAAAGTGCAGCGTAGCTCTATAAACAAGCCTCCCGAACAGAACTGGGCGCATTTGTAGTGTGCTACTTCCTCATCCTAGGACGCGAGCTGTGAGTGGTTTTCAGCAGAAAATTCCTGACAGATTCTTTTGCATAGTCTTTCCACTTTGATAAAGATCTTCTTTTGTAAATCCATAATCACCAAAAAATATCAAATGGAAACCCGAAGCAATGAATCTGAAGCTCACAGTGCCACTGCCCGGAGCCTGTGCAGAGTCCCCAGTTCCCGGCCGGCCAGAGAGAACTTGGGTGAGAGCCCTTGAAGCCGAAGAAAGCAGGGAAAGAAGAGGCTTTCTTCCGATTTGCTGCAGGTTTCATCTGGAATGCAGATTTCAGCCTCCAGGGCCACGAACAAAAACCAACAAGACTGGTTTCATATTACTACTGTCCTAACTCTGCACAGCTATTTCTGTGAACTGCACACAGGTACTTATCAAAGGCTCTCGCCACACCCAGTGACTGGGAGCTGCTTGGGTGGGCAGGGTAAACAGCCAGCTCAGAAGTTAACTGTTTAGAAATCAGGCAGGCTGTCCATCTGCACTGCACACAAGCTTTGACTATTTCAAACCAAAGCAATCTCTGCTGACATATTTTTGATGACTTTCATGTATATACACTGCTACAGTAATGCTATATGAATGAGATTTGTTTTACTTAATACTGGCAAAAACACTTGAAGGAAATATTCAAGACTGTGTAACTCAATATTAACAGAAGCAGTCAGGGATAACATTTTTTTTCATAATACACATATAAAGAAAGTACAAAATACTCTTAAGGACCCTTAATATTCAGCAAGTCAGTAACATTTAGGTCAGGTTCCAGTCAAAAGTCCTCACTTCTGTTCCTTTTCTTATTTTTGGAACTACAGAGACTAAAAATCTGCAGGAATTTATATATTTCTTATTGCTTGGCCTTTAAGAAGTTTGTTTAGTCAAATTTTCACATTGGTACCTTAGAAATTCAAAGATACTATTCTTTATTTTGCACTCAAGTTGGAGGGTCATTCTACAGTCAGCCACTTAGCAATGATGAATAATCTCAAAGAAGCAACATGGGGAAAGCTGTTCTTCATGGGGAAATCAGCTGCAGCTCACACCACTGTCAAATTACCTGAAAACATCTACTGAAAAACTGCAAGTGACAACAAAGTATCCTGACATATTTAACTTTTGGTTTAATGTTTAAAAATGTAGACTGTACAAAAAGTGTGTGTTTACCTTTTCAATATACTATAAAAGATCATAAAATCAACAGAAGTCATTGGTACCTACTGCAGGAAGAAAGTTTCCTGAAAATCAGACTGTAAAACTAAGGGCTTTGATGAAGCTTGCAGACACCTTTTCAATTACAGGGTTGCATGCATACACTGGAAACATTCCCATCTTTATCTGTGATTTAACAATGTCTTCTGCGTTACTGTCTGCCATTTCCTGGAGTAAGCTCTGGACTTGCTTCTCTGCTATGCTTAATCATATGCTTAACTTATGATGGATATACATTAAAGTGTATTTTTCAAGAACAAAAAATATACCTATATGAACAACTTCATGGTACCTTTTAAACTAAACATACTTATTCAGATTATGCAAAAGTGTTTATTTATCTGTTGATATTAATGACAACTCACACTTACTTAGAATAAAACTTCTCTGTAATAATCTAGAGTCACTAAGCTGTAACAGTCCTATGAATCTTGTACATAGGCAGGTTACTGAAAATAGCCACTATCTAACTATTAAAGATCTTAATAGCAGGTCTGAAAAGTTTAGTTCAAAAGTGGACTTAAAAGCAGAAAAAACATACTTTAAATCTAAACATCCCAACAAAATTTACAAGACAGTGATCAAATTAGTAGTGAAAAGGATGGTGCTTTGAGTGTCAGGCCAAAGTTATGCAATGTATGAGATGCTAGAGAACCCAGAGTAGAACATGGAATAATTAAAACTCCAGAAGCCAAAATATACCTTATAAAACCAGAGATAATCTCACAAACCCCCAATCTCTAACATTCTGTGATTCTGTGAAACCTGCAGAAAATGATACTGCTTCATGTGTGCCTCTTCCCTTGATAAGGAACTCCAGGAAGTGAGAAGAAATTTTCACGCTTTTTTACCATTAGGATGAACAAAGGAACTTGTCTCTATATCTGCCCCTGGAGAAATGACCAAAAACTGGAAGACAGCCAGTCTTTCAAATTCACAACACAGTCCACAAACCCCCAGCCCCAAATAATGCTTGTATAAGGACTTGTTTCTCAGAATCTGATGATCACCCCAGTGGACAATCCCGTTGAGGGCCTGGATAACTAATAATGAAATACACATTGATATTTACCCAATAGAGTGTTTCTGGGTAAAATACATACATCAATATGTGTCCTTAATATTTTTACACAAGAAGGAGATCATCATATTGCGATGTGCAAATGAGATGAAGCCAGTTTGTTGGCAGAAGTCTTTAAATGCTGGGTGGATCTATCTGTTAAGGAAAGTCTCCCTGAGCAGGTTGTAATTCTGCATCTGAAGAAAGAAAGAACTTCAAAATCTCTAGAAAAAAATCAGATATGATAATGTCACAGGTCTCTTCACTTAATAAAACTGACAACTCTCTGGTGTCTCAGAAAAAATGCACTAACTATACAAAAGGACAATCACTCCTTACAGTTTAAAGTACATTTAGTAATCCACACCCTTTCTGACCTACATTTCATCACAGACAGAACTCACACCTACAACTCACTCCAGTTCTGTTCTTGAGGTGTCTAAGAGCTCCCCTGAAGTAGGTGTTAAAAGTGGCTTTGAAAAAAACACACAAGAAGCAAAAATAAAGCAATCTAATTTCTCTCACTATCGTACAGCAGGGCTCAAGGCTTCCTGACCCCATATCTATTCAGATTGCCTTTTCAGATCACTGTAACAGCAAAATAGAGAAACACGAATAGGGCACAAAGACACATTCTGCAAAACAGCTAAGTGGCTAAACTGTATAGAAAATGAACTTTCTACTGTTTTTCCAATATAAAGAGCCTCAAAAAAGAGAAAATTTTGTACAATTTCTTGAAAACAATCATAGAATCAAAGATGCACGAACTGTGTCAGGGTTCAGAAGAGCCACATGAAGCAGCAGGCTGTGGTTGTGGCTCAGGCCGTTTGAACTGATCTGAAGCTCTGTTGACAGTCCTGCCCTCTGCCTTGTCCCCAGCCCAACTGTGCTGACAGATAAAGATCTTAACATTCTCCTGCTCTCCTGTCTGTCTCTCCTGCTGTTTATCTATCTCGTTTTATACTTAGTAATTTAACTCTTTAAATGCTCTAAAACAGAAAAGGCAGAGAAGATGGAAGGAAACTAAGTCCTGAATTTTCATAATTATTCTCAGCCTTCTTACCTCACTATAGACCATTATATGAGCAATTTTCCTGAAATTTGAGGATCTAGGTATCATCAACAGAATGACTTTAAATGTAAAAAAGACTTTAAATGTAAATTAGACAAAGCAGCAGAAACATAGATGTGATAACTCTTATAAAGATTCAGCATTACATGATGTTAACCGAATGAGTGGCACCAGACACATTTGGTGTAGGGAGCTGTAGAAATCCAGTATGGTTTTTAACGTCTTCATAAAAATTCTGCCTGACATTGAGATATGGACTACTTCAGAGAATTTGAAAAAAAGATCATAATAGTTACCCTGTAAAACCCATCATATATATGAAAAATCAATGGTAGTTCCGAGGCAGAACTTGTAAAAAAGATTTATGGGCTGGTCTCCTGGTTAAAACCAGCAGAAATACAAGTAACAAAGACAGGGAACAGAAGATCACTGTAAACTGTGTAAGTAAACTGAATAAGATCTTTGTGCATTAAGGCACAAAGGGCAGCACTTAGTGTAACAAACAATGGCGATGAATTTTTAATCTTTCCCTTTGTGCTTTCCTATTCTAGGTTGCTCTCTTTTCACCTTGTTTTCATTTCAACAGGCTTTTTGCTTCCCATCTACAGTATGACACAATAGTTTAAAGATTAAACAAAAAGCTTTCTAAAATAAAATCCACATAGTCACATCAAATAATTTACCAGATTTTCTTATTTACTTGCTATTAATAGTTATTTTAGCTGCACTTCCACATCTCTTTTACATGCTTTTTTATCTGAGATGATATGCTGTATAAAGAATAGGGTGGAGTTGCACTTCTATTTTGTTTCATTAGCTTCTCTATCTTCTCTATGCTGGATTGTGAATGAGAATGCAGCATGCTCCAACGAAGACTTAAAATCCAATGCAGGATTTTTGTTCACACTTCTGATACAGATGGTGCATTTGAAATTCCTGTCAGAGCAGAATTCATTAACTCTCTCCCTCATCTACTTTATCTACCTCCTTCCAACTAGAAACAGAAACATCTTTCCAATAACATAAGCAAACACATACCTACATACACACATATATTATACATTTAGGTAAGGATGCTACTAATCCATAGAAAGCAGAGCTATTCAATAAGAAGCTTTGGTTTTTCACATTGTCACTGTTATGAAAATAACTGCATTTTAAA